CTATGAAAGCCATATTGGGCCGAACCTCGTTGCCTCGCTCGGCCCTAAATTGGTCGTAGCAGAAGGAGCCTGCAGCTGGCTTCTTCTGCCACACGCTGTTCCCTTTTTTCCGGTATCTCATTAGCACGACGAAAACTAACGGCCTCGGTGGAACGCCGCTTCTGTATTGCGATGTCCAGTCCGCCTCCCTTTTTATTGCGCGACATCGTAAAGACGGCCGGAGCACTTCCAGCGAGCGTATATGGCTTCCGTCACATACACCTCTCGAAAGTCTGTCCGCTCTTGGAAACAGTGCTATCGCGTTTCGAAGTACGCCTCGTGGCACGTGCCTTCAACCACGGATATTTGGATCTCTCTCGTTGGCCCTCATTCCTAACAATTTCGATCAGCCTCTTTTTAATTCAACACGTTGGCAGGAGGTGGCAAAACCGTGTATATCTTCGTGTCGTGTGTACCAGGGTCCTACGGCATCGCGTTATTGCTCCAAAAACGTGTAAGCACAAACGGAGACGGACACGGAGAAGAGGACACGCTGCGCTTACAAGCTTTTTGAGCACCGTGCGCTAATTAGTCAAACAAAAAAAGTGTCGTTAAAGAACGTTATTGTCTGCAATGATCGGTAAAATCTTTGTTCCTCGATTTACTATATAGTAGTTCTCGCTTCGCGATGCTTTGAACATAAAGAGAGAAGAAGATAAGAGCAGAAGGAGAAAAACATGGCGGCCTGCCTCGATTGGCTACTCTGAGTTGGTGAAGGAGATAGGGAAAATAAAAGAAGTTGCAAGGAGAGAAAATAGCCGAGACACGTATAATTAACAGCCGCGTTAAAGGGGCACTACAACGAAATTTCGGCGCTCATTTTTTGGTCTATATGTGTTCAAAAGAGCAGTATCACATGGAACATACCAATATCTTGTTAAAAAAGTCTCGAAAAGGAATTTTAAAACGAATTAAACGATTAGCAAAGAGCACCTGGTGGATGTCGCTAAAGCCTCGTTTGTAATGCTCGTCTAGGAACCTTGACTGCTAGTGACGGAGGTTGTCTCGCCTCCGGCCACGACGAGAGAAGAGGTGGAAGGGGGAACTCCCCTCTTCCCGAGAATGCCTTTTGTGTGTCGCAGAACTCGCTATTGTCCCCCTAGAAGATTATAGAAGATTAACCCGTCACTCAAAATTCGTACAAAAGCAGCCGCTTCGGTGGCTGGAACGACTAGGCCATCCTCTCGACGTCAGCCTCGCCGTAGCTTTGCTCGTCTTGAGACGACCTACGTCACGATTGCGTTGGATGTCACGTGCTCTAAGCTGGGCCTTCTCCGAGCGCTTGCCAGAGTGGGCCGTTTATAACGAAAAATACAGCCACCAGGATCAAAATACAAACGTGCGATTGTCATTTACGGATATTATGGATCATATTCAACCTATTTTTGAACACGACGGGAATATTTCAAATTTCGTTGAAGTATCCCTTTAATACTGTTAGAGCGGAATCCTACTTGTACACAATCATGAGTGTGTCGAAGTATTGCGAGTTGTGCTTGCCAGCACGAGGTTCAGTTGAGCGGATAATCGCTTAACAAAATCGCAGAACTATCAATCTTGTACATAAACACAAATAATGAGTAATAAAGCACTTTTTACAACCACAACTCTAGGCGAATTTCTTATAAGAAACGGAGAAGAGCGTTTGCGGCCTTCTCCTCAGTCTAATGCCCCTAGCATTTTGGACGTCTAGACGTGTAAGGGTGTCCTTTAGGAGTTACCTTTTTGTAACGTAAAAACTACATTCATATTATAAATGGTATATATTTCCTACACAATCACACCCCGGACAGTTCGTTTTGTGCGTTTTTCCAATTCGGAGCAGGAATTCTTGTGTGTAGGAAACACCCAGGCGTAATCAGTGTTTCTTACACCGATTACTCATTGCTTTATTTTATGCTCAAATTGGTTGCTTGCCATGCCTAACAAATCGTACGTGCGGATCGGGTGGCCTCAAAACTAACGAATTGCCGCGCCGAATGGCCCACCTTAAGAATGATTGGTTGCGTGGCTGGCTATGGCTCCTTACAAATTAGATCGGTGTTGCCCTGTTCGGGCGCGGTAAAGAACATAACAACGACACACCGTACAACATACTTATGGCCTGCGGCTGAAATGATCTAAGTTTTAACGCACCAAAAAAAGTTGTCGCGTATTTTTTTTTTTTTTTTTTATGGGCGTTTTTGTATATTTTGCAGAGTTACAAAGCCATCCTGACCTCTAGCGCCAGAGTAAAGTCACACCATAATCATAAAAGGTATCTTTCGAAATACGTTCAACTAAACTTTAATTAGTATTTAGAGGAATCAAATCGTCCATACGAACTTTCATTGAAGCTCCACGACGATTTGGCAGGGATATATTTTGTGCTTTTGTTTTTCTCCATGAAATATGCGAGTATACATAGCTCCTGAGCCTGAGGTTATTAGAGTAATTCAGCAAATAGGTATTTGATCCCGTGAATTCAGTTATCGAGATTATCTCGAGCAGATGTAAACGTAAACTGCCTTTATTTCGAAAAATACGGGCAGCAATTGCCGCCGGGCATGCGGCGATCCTCTCTGCCGCCCAGGGGTTTCCCCGAGAGAGATATTGAAATCAGGGGGGGGGGGGGGGGGGGGGGGGGGCATTGATGAGAATAGAGGAGTTGTTGCGAATTAAGGGGGTGCCTTCAGAAAAACAAGGAGGGGGGGGGGGGTGTAGGGAAATCACTGCTGCCGCCTCTTGTCTGTCCAGAGCGTCGTGACGGCATTGACAGCGAGCAAGGATTCACGTTTTCCTACCCTTGGCGCTCCGCAACGGGTGCATCTACGTCGAAATTTTAATTGGCTATTACGGCGCTCCTATTAATAAAATAAAAAAAAAAGCTTAAGACATCTTTATAAGGTGTTTACACACAACATTTACTGTTTGTTCGGATTCAAAGACTTCTTCAGCTTCCATTTAAAGATTCTTTTATTTTCAAGATTTAATAACATTTGAGATTTTTAACAACGGCCCGTCACACGTGGCCAGAATAGCAAACTTGTTTGCAGCAGATCATTAAAAATTTTGTAAAATGCATTGCAAGCGCAAACTTTTTTTTAAATTTTTAATAGACCGACACAAAGGCATGTACTATGTATGCAGACAGAAACCGGTCCCAACAATATGATGAACCAAAAACATAATATGCCAATAGTTATAGTATAATGCAATTAAATGCAAAGGTGCAAGCGAGCTGGACAAGACAAGACTTGTAATGGAGAGGTCCCGGGTTCGATACCCGGACCAGGCGGATTTTTTCGGTCGCTCACCAGTCACCTAGCTGTTGTTTGGAGATTTATGTTTGTCCTTTGTCCCCCTTGCTCCCCTTCTCCAGGGATTAATTTCGTCATGCCAATAATTGTTCAGCATAGTTTCAGGAGATCAATGTGGCTCACCGCTAATAAAAATTTCCAATTGCTTTTTTTTCTTTTTTCTTTTTTCATTTCGCAACGGCGAAACCAGATTGGGTAATCATTTACGGTTCAGAATCGAGACCAACACGTCACTTCCGCGGGTCGCTCGACAACTGCCGACGTGCGCGATCGGAAGCGTCACTGTGATCGGCCTTCTACGATTGGCCGAATGCTGGCTATGACGTTAGCAAAGGATTTCTCTTCGACGGAAATAAAAATAATGAAAAAACCTCAGTTTTGGCGGTGTTGGAAGCATTGGTTTCAGAGCGCAATGATTTCAAGCCTTCGCCATTCTCATTACAAACACCGTCAGACTTGTTGCTCGCGAGGTACTGACGTCATGAGAGAAAACCATAGGAGGGCGCGCCTCACTGTGTGCAAGCATGTGCAGCGTGCGCGTGAACGTATAGATAACATTGGCAATCTTTCAATTGCACGTACTTTCACGCACGAGCAGAGACATGGTGGTAGCCAGAGGCCGTGCATAATTGTAATCGCCTACACTCTCAGAAATAGGGGTGTATATGGGGCACACCCTTTGTCCCATATGTAACACCCCAAAACAGCAATTCGACGTTCAGTCCACAAACTACGAACCGACGATACCAACTTTCAAGAGCGGCTTGATAGTCGACCGATACAACTCATTAAAATAGCGAATGTACGCATTAAAGGCTACAGTAAGACAATCAAGGTTTTTTTGGCCCTGCTGCCAAAACCTCAGTTGTTTTTTTCTAGTCTTTGATACGCACATTAGATATTCAGTTACTTATATCGATCAGCTATGAAGCCGCTCGTAATAGTTGGTATCGCCAGCTCGACGTCAGTGCACCGAACGTCCAAATGTAGTTTTGTGGTGTTATATATGGGACAAGGGATGTACCTTTACACACACCCTGTTTCTAAGAGTGCATATAGCTCGCATCTGCGCCGTGCGTCGAACGTTGCATGCATACTCGAGCTTCGACCCCGCTTTGTTTTGCTCGATACTTGCGTTGTCCCTCGGCTTCCCCTCACGTTCCAGTGTGTACGCCCTGACCGCACCCTCACCTTAACGCGCGCGCGCACTATATAATTGCCGCATTGCAGGAACCCAACGAGCGAAGTAAAGTCAGACCCCTCTTTCACCCCTAAGCTGACAGTGCGGTGGGAGCTACGCGCTATACGGACCAATCAACCGCCTCCCTTTCGTCACGTGACCCTACTCTAGGCGCATGAATGAAGTCACACTGCTAGTATACGTCGTACAAAAGAAACGGTGTTCGCAGCAGAAATGTAGATAGAACTATTTGGCGGACGCGCCCCCAGCACGTTCGGAGCAGGCTTGCTTCCTACATGTCTGCAGACTGTTGTTTTATGACCAATGTCATACAGGGAAGAAACACACATCAAACAGTGTCCGCGGACTGTGAAGAGACATGTGAAGGGTCCGCATAGCTTGCACCGCGCTGTCAACTGGGGCGCGCAACAATGGCGGCCTTCTTCTTGTCGTGTTTTCATCTTCTTCTTCTCCGCTTACAGCCAGGAAAATTCGACGAGGGCGAGCGCCTACAATGGGAAAAAGCTGACCTCAACCAAAACAAGCAAACGGCCTCGGGACAATATCGCTGCAACTGCTGAGACGCGCATCTTTGCATCGCTCTTCTCCTCTTTCTCCTTCCCCGTGTTTTTGCCCCGGACTGTTCCCGTCTGTTCCCATTTTTTTTTTTTTCGAGTAAACTTTAATCTTTTTACGACACCGAGAGTTCGGCGGGAGAGCATCCGATAATAGTGCACGGGAGACGAGAAGTCAGCGCGGGTCGACGGGTGGCACGACGCCAACGTGGTCTACAACATGGCGGATCACGATGCCACCAACGGACACCTGCAGTCTGTCTGCAACACGGGCGGCGCCAAACTTTTTACGGCGGAACTGACTTTGAATCGAGACAACGAACCTGTCTCTCTTTCTAATGCTTCGCGACCTATATAACACTGGCTTTCGTTGTTTGCATGTGGTTTGTATCGAGAATGAATCACGCAATGGTGCATGCGGCCAATTCCGCGAAGTAGCATTTTGACTTCACGGGTTTCTTTGTTTTTAGTTTTCGGCATGCACTCAGATGGAAGTTGAGGCTGCCGCTTCGTGGATAGCTAATGTAAATCGTAACCCTCCTTATGTCCTTACAGAAAAAAAAAAAAAGAATATTTTGTTTAGCATGCACGTGACTATCTATTTAGTACAATATTACCGTTTCCTTTAAATGCGAGCGGATGAACGAAACAATATACTTCTTTTTTTATGAATAAAGAGCGCGGTTACGTCGCGTTGTGTTGTCGTTACAGACATTAACATTCCCCGTGTAACTGAGGTGTATACGTACCACAAAGCCAGTGTGCTAAAGTTGCGATTGTACAAATGTAGCCTGTAATCTTTTTCTTTTTTTTTAACCTTTAATTTTAGTTTAAACGCCGCTTTCGCGTCATGTGCTCTTTGGACACCTTGTAAATATGTCTAGGCAAGTACGTACGTATTATAAGCGAGAACAGGCGGACATACTTTGCGAACGTATACTTACTAGGAACTAAGTTCCCGCCTGGCTTCTTCTAGCCGATTTTGTTTTATATAACGGTGCTCAGAGACAGCGGGCAAGGAACCAAAAAGGGTGTCTTGCCGCTTTTAAAGCACACCACCCAAATAAGAAAAAAAAAAATAGAAGTTTTGCTACAGACACGAGGCACCGACTTAAGAGTTGTCATTCCTTCGTTAGTCGATCGGGGGCTTCGATAAACATTTGCGTGCCTCATAAAGAAAAAATTCGTTCGACCTAAAAAAAAAAAAAAAAGAAGAGGAAAACCTAATACGCTAGTCGGCATATAACACGTAGAGGGACCCTTTCAGCAACGCTGTTTCTTGTAATGTGCCGGTCAGTACGATACACTGGCGTGTTCGTGAATTTTGAATGGCAGATCTCGCGAAATGAATCCAGTAATATGCGGGTCTGCACATTCAGTGTGCAGGCACGCATGAAGGCAGCCTCTTCCGTAACAGCTGCGGGAATGTTGACGAATAAAATGTTTTTTTCCCACTGTGTTGCTTTTCCACTCTGGCATCCATTTATTTGCACGCGCATCTTAGCTATAGGCGGCGACGAGGGGTCAGCCCAGAAGCGCCGAAAATAAATACAAACTCGAATGCGTCATAGACTCAGCCACTCCTCTAGACTCCCATATGAAATGATTAAGGTGATGATACTACTGACTATAGTCTTGTGCAACTCAAGAAGGTAGGGCGACGGAAAGGAAGGCCAGGGAGGAGGAAGCAGACGAACGCTGGAGAGAGGAGGAGGTTTCTCCGTCTTTCCTCCAGCGTTCCGTCTGCTTCCTCCCCGACCTTTGTTCCCCTCGCCCCACCTTCTTGAGTTGCAACAGACTATAGTACTACGTCTTTACAACGGTAACAACTGCTACTCGTAATACTATTACAAATAAAACGTACTAGCTACTACTTTGCTATTTACACGAACAGTAAAAGTATTAATAAAACTATTAATTTATTCATTTACGTTTAATAGAACTCAGCCACTTCGTCCTACGCTATAGTATAGCTCATCTGTTGAACGTAACGGCGCGCAAAGGACAAGAATAAAGAAAAAAAAAAAAAACAAGCACTGTTGTGTTCTTTCCATTGTCCTTGTCCTTTGTGTGCTGTTATATGTGTTCAACATGTCATGCCAACTAGCCCGGCTCATCACCCTTCTATAGCTGTCCCTTCCACCGAATAACTTGGCAGTAAATATACACATGAGCCTCAAGAACCTCAAGTGGTATCGTACGTATGTAAAATTTACAAAACTGCTTTTCCTACAACCGTCTGTGACGTATAAGGGTATGACAATGTTTGCCTCGTTTTTTTTTTGTTTTTTTTTTTTATCAATCTGTACTTTAGGGCGACCTGCTTGCCGTGAATTGTTTGTGGTTCCTTACCTATTCTCCTCCTTCCTGTGCTCGTGACGTTGAAAGCATGGTTCACATGTCCAATTGTATGTGAGTATGATCGAGCGCGTTGAAAGCTCTTTTGACAGCTGACGCCGAAAGAACACACTAACACACTGGAGCGCGATCGGCATATAAATGTGATTGTGTTACGTGTTTGTTTAGACAGAGTGAAGTTAGTGTGCCCCAATCGGCTCCATGGTGTCTCCACTGTAGAGAAATTTAGCCTGGTATCTTCAACGTGCATCGCGCGGTAGTGACACAATACCGCAAGCCGGTATACGATGCTCGTTGAGATTGAAACGGCAGAGATGGGCCTTGAACCTTGGAGTAGGACACGGTGTAAGAAAGTCTGTTTAGATAAAGAGACTGCAGGCGGCTCCCTGTCGGAAAGGGCGCCCAAATAATGCCCCCCTCTCTTGTGTGTTTGCTTTAACATCCCTTATACGGCGCTTCAAGATGTGACTCTTTGCAGGGGCAGGGGACAGAGTTTAAGAACCCCGAATAGTTGCCAGACAAAGGTCATATATGCAAAATTGGAGTTGGGAAGGTCAAAGAGCGGTGATCAGTTGAAAAGTGATCAAGATAAAGTCGTGGACGATCCTCACATTTAACAGCTCAGATGAATTGAAGAGGGCTGGGCCGGCAGAACACGTGCCCAAACATTCCAATCTGCCAGGTCTAACCAAACAATATAAGGACAGTAAGGGACTTCCGAATGAAAAGACCTCCTCCTTGTGTTACACGAGAGGTCTTGATTGTTGTGGACAGTACCATCATGCACACTGCCCAACCATTTGTATCTGTAGTGAATATCCCACAAAGTGTCGAGGCAATATTCAACAGAAAGGCGACAGTACAAGTCCGCGCAATGATTGACGAATGCGAGAAACAGGCCTGGAGAATTCCTAGTATGTACTTCCTCCATGTCGGGATTAATGACATATTGAAAGGAGATCAGCCAGAGTCTGTTGTGGAAACTATTCGGAAAAAGATGGCGCTCGTACGTAAATCGTCTTTAACCCTCTGTTTGGTGCCGGAGGTCGCGAGAAAAGGCAAGGGGCATCTGAATGCGAGGGTCAAGGGTTTGTGCAATAAGCTTCGAGCCAGGCACGTACGATCTAAATGCGGAGCTAGATGGCTACCACACCACAGATAGCCATGACGTACACGGAAAAGTGGGCGACCAGCTGGTTTCCCATCGTCGAAAAAATATTGCAAAACCTTTTTTTTTCTTTTTTTTTTAAGCGATGGTAAAAAAAAAACGGTCGGATTGGGAGGTTAGCCGTGGAAAGATGCGGAAAACCTGGAACGGCGGTACCTTTTGAAGCACGACAATGAGAGAACGAAAACACTACTCGGCCTAAGCATCGCTAACTTAAATAACCAGCAGACGTACGCTTCCCATCTAAACAAGCCAGCACGTCATTTCTACCAGACAGGTACCACAGAGCAGCAAATCTCGGGGAGACTCGTGGAGCTCGTACCGCACGTGCAGCCTTTCGGGACCACAAGGACGAGTACTTCTTTTGCACACCAGCGGGTCTTGAATGTGAGGCAACAGCTTCCGTACCCTGCTGTGATGATCCACACTCCGACCCTCGGGCTCAGACAGTGAGCTTTTTGCGTAGATCAGAAACTGCAACTGCCAACGGGGGCGGAGCTTCAAGTTTCTCTCCAATGATGTCTACACATGGCATTTAAAACAGTCATGAAACACTATTATGGAATTCATAAATAAACACGCTACAACCTCAGTACCAGATGCCATCAAAGGGGGGATTCCGGTACTCTCTTCACAACCCTGAACACCCAACGCCAGCGCGAGTCGAACATGTGTACCCACCTGTGCTGCTGCCGCCTCACGACCTGCGTGTCATCGTGGCCGAGATAGTGAGCCTGCAGCTAGACTACTAGTGACGCAGGGTGTAAGGATGCATTCAGTGGAGGTGATCAAAGTCAAGAGGGGCAAGGTCAAAAACGGGTGTGAAAAAAGAAAACAAGAAAGGAAACGGCGGCGACGTAAACGAAGCAAGCGACCAATTGAAGTAGCAGGATTTTTCAACCTCCAAGGAGCGCGGCGGGAACAGAAATGTGAACAGTTATTCAGCGAATTGGAGACTATAAAAATGACACTGTTTGAGGTAGCCGAGACACATCCATACGCAATATCGAGGAACCTCCGACCAACGCCAACTGGAGTTGGGCTCGACGCAATCTTGCGGAGGATCAGCGCCGAGGCGGGGGAGGGGGGGATGTGGCGCAGCATATCAGTTTGGCACAAAGAGCCACGAGAGTGTTAGGACACCTTTTGGTAACAGGGGCGGTCATTAATATCCCTGTAGCTGTTTGCATCCTCTACATGTTTGTAGGAACGGCGCACAGAGAGAATACTATTTAAATAACCTGTGTGGCAAATGGTGCTAAGGCCTTGGCTGCGACAAACGATATTTTTTATCGTTGGTGTCTTTAACGAACACATGGATGGACTGTACCAATGGGAGGATGAGAATGGAAGAGCGATGCTACAGATGGCCGAAGATAATGACCTTGAGATAGTAAATCTCAGAGTCACATATGAGGGTAAATATGCATGAACTGCCCGCAAGAGCAAAACATGTATTGTCATCTGACCCGTTCTCTTGTTGAAGCACAGATCGGTGAAGCTGGTTCATGCAGTGTTGGGAGGGACCACAACCGAATGAGTTTAATGTTCTCGAAGGCAACACAGAAAATGATAGCACGAAAGCCTCACCCGACACGCCGCTCCCGGATATTCCCAGGTGCAGCAGGGAAGGTTGTGGAGTAGTTTGAGAACAGCACCAAGGAGGAGGAGTGCATCTGGATACACGGAATATGCAAAAGCGTTAAAGCGACTCATCCGACAACATTCCACAAAGGACCGTGGTTGACGCCGCAAAGAAACCGCTAGTGGGATGCGGAAGTACAAGCCGCAATTCGATTATGACAGGATCTGAACAGAGAGCACCGCATGGCCCTCCATGGCGGCATCAGCGACAAACTTTCAATGGAGTGCCACAAGTACCATCTGAAGAAGCAGGCAGCAAAACACCTGGCGGCAGGAAAAAATGGCCCAGGCTGACATGGAGACAACGAGAGACATTAGTTCAACCGAAAGAGGAGGGAGGTTACTTCGGAACTGTCAATGGAAACGACTACATTCATAGGGCATTTATGCGTAAACAGAGGAGGACACTTAAAGAGTTCCGAGAAAACTAAACATTACTAAACAGCCCCTCTTACCTGCTAAACAGAGAAGACTCCACTATAGTCCGGAGAGCGCAGACTACAAGCCTCATGGCTGAACGCCTTAGAAACTACATCAGCAGCATAAAAGGCACACCACAGTGCAGCACCTGCGGGTGGTACCCCAGCAATGCCCATCAGCTATGGGACCGCCCCAACGTAGCTGCCACAGCTAAAACAGCACTCCAAACACTTCCAGCCAGACTTAAGCCCGGGAGCTGAGAGGAGTGGGCCAATTAATCCCCCCGCCGGGACCGAGCTAATCCTCTGGCCGCTCTTAGTTCAGCACGTTAAGAACGTGATGGGCGATGAGTGGTAAGGAAAGTGACCCAGGACGAATTTTCGGGTGCGAATAAATGTTTACTCTCTCCCTCTCTCTCTCAATAGAAACGATCACCATCTGGGCATCCTGAGCGAGGACACTGCCCACGGGGAAGATGGGCCAATGCCTCACAAATCATCTGATAAATCTATTTTCGCTACCGGGAGCAGCAACGCTACACGATCCATGCCAGCAAGCAAGACCTGGGATATACATCAAATTACATTAATAGCGTGTATATTGGTAGAGTGTCAGTTATATGTGCACTAGCTGGCGCATATCAGGAGCAACACCGCCGAGGGATTGGACGAGATTCTGATAAGTGTGCTCAGTGCACTGCGGAAAGACTCCCGGGATTAACTTACAGAAATCTTCAATAATATTTCATCTGGTAGAGAAAAAACACCTCGGGAATGGAAGTGCAGCAGGGCGGTTCTAATCCCCCAAAAGAGGAATGTAACCATAAGTATAGACCCCTTACGGTGACAAGCACGGTGTATATGACTT